GTACATGACAGACTGAAGAGAATAAATCAGTGAAGCTTATCTGAAATGAAAATGCAATGCTAACTATATCATGCCAGGAAACACATTTCATTTAAAATTCTCTCTCTCTCTCTCTCTCTTTCGTGCACTTGCTCACGACAGTACCATTTACAATTTAGTCTTATTCCCTCTATCTTTAGGTGAGTTTCATGCACCACCATAATCCTAACCCATAGATCACAAAGAGATTATTTTTACCTGGGATTGTACAAGCGCCAGTGTTTTTTCCCCTCGATCTGCATAACAAATGCATCAATGTCGTCCCAGTGTGGAGCAAAGCCCTGCGTGCCCGCTGGTGTGAGATAGCTGTAAAATTTACGCAAACGTCTCAAAATCACAAAGACCTTATCTTATTAACCCACACTTGATAAATTATTGGTAAACACCTGGAAATAACATGCCAAATTTCTTGCGTAAGGAATGAGTCTCACTTCTACGTTCATTACCTAGTTCCTAATTCGTTCCATTCCAGCACGGAATACGAATGAATTTATAACGAGACATCAGTAAGATTTTTAACAGACACAGTAGCATGCTTACACATTCATTCCAACAAAGCTGCTAAAGTACTCCGTCAGGCACGAGTTTAGCCTCCAAATGTTCTTCGAATACGTTTGCGGGTTCAACATTCGTAGCGAACATCCATTCTGAAAGTAAAACAAGAGAGCATCCAGTCTTCCGTGCCGCGTCACGAACTGTAAACTTGAACACAATGCATGTAACCAATAATATTGGATCATTAATAACATCACTGTCAAGGTAAACAATTTAAGGATTTAACCATGAACAATGATGTTATTAATGTTTCAAAAGAAATCCGACTATGAAATTTCAAAATAATATTGGATTTCTCTTACAATTACAGTGATATGACTGAAGCACGGCTAATGGACAGAATACACAATGCCTTTATATTAGAGACATATTACCAAAAAGATGTGGCATTGAAATTTACTTTACATAAGAACTGCGGGAATCACATGTCCAAGTCCTAAAACTGTGGCTAAAACCACATAGAGAAGTGATAAAAATCTATAGAGAAATAGCCTGTTGATGGTTTTACCTGGAAATAGTCCCACACTACAGGTGCATAAGCTCTTCCTTCCGGGTTATGCGTCTCCCGCTTCCCATTCGTGTAAGACACAACATCCAGGTTCACCGTGTATTTTATGTTTTCCTATATAACACACGCAAAAGGGATTGTAGAAAATATATCAAATGGCATTCTCGCAATACATTTGTTATCGAATTCTCTAATCATTCATTTAACCGAGAATACCCACTCACCCACTCACCCACTCACCCACTCACCCACTCACCCACTCACCCACTCACTATCCATCTTATTCCCCTATCCACTCACTGGAAGTTTTACCCCGTCAACCACTCGCTAGATCATTTTACTCCACACTAACTCACTAAATGTCTCACTTCCCCAGGGGTAGAAATTAACGTTTGAACACGGGAGTCCAACGGAATCCCTACCCTCAAAAAGAGGGAGTCCGAAGCAAAATGAGGGAGTCCGCAGTCTGAGGTTCAAAATTAAAGATATTAACAATAACGCATGTGCTTATTTTTAAGATTCATGCAGTTGCACGTCTGCCAAATTTTCTTGGGACATTAGCTGAAAAAATACGGTAATTCCGCGAGGCCGTGCTCTGGAACGAACTAGTCAGTATCGCAGAATTTTCAGGGAGTCACACGGACTCCTGCATATGTCAAATCAGGGAGTCCGACAGTAAATCAGGGAGCATTTGACTCCGGACTCCAGTTAATTTCGCACCCTGCTTCCCTAAACTCTCACTACAGACTTTACTTCTCCTACCCTCTCACTATGGATTTTACTTTCCCCCATCGATAACACGACCTTCGGTTATTGCACTGTACCGTGCGTAGGATGTGATCCATCTCATCCGTACTGAACCAGCCTTCGTAGTACTTTGGCTGATGTCTCTTCACTAGCAAAGGCTTCCTCTCCCACAGCTCCCTGCAGAACGCACAGGACAAGCAGATCGTGATCACACATATTCAAGAAGACGCCTTCGCGATATTGACAGTAAATTTCTAATTTACGATACTTCATCAAATAATAATTGTTATTAATGTTGTGAGAACTGTCGTAAAATTGCAAGCATCATTCGATTATGAAACTAGAGGACAATACTATAGATGTGCATGCACGAAGTCGCGTACTTGAAGAACTTGTGCGGCTTTACGGGACCGATGAGCCATTCGAATGTTGTCGACGCAGCCGTCTGGCTGTCCTCCATCTGCTCCATCTCATCGATCTGCAGCTCCAGAAAATCTTCGTCCGATTCATCGCCACCTTCTCTAGTATTCTACAACAGCAGACCCACATTCATCATTAGTGCGTACGCTAGTATGGATACGTGTGCCGGCCCTGGTATCCATAGCGACCAGCGCGTTACACTTTGGTAGGACGTGCCTGCGGTCACGTGCGCCTTGCCGCGGAACTGCGCGCAATATCCGTGCTCAGCGGTCAGGATCAACTCCGCCTTTGCGGGATGTCTCTAGTATCCGGTCTCTACTGGATTTATCATGCCAGCTCGGCACATGCGTAGGCATGTGTTTGATGAACCTACCACAGCCACGTTAGTAGCAGCCACATGCTGTCCTTGCAGCAGTATTTCAAGTGACACAGTTTGTTGCCATGGGTGTGATAATCAAGATTGGCTACAACCTTATGACAACCAAACAGATGCATGCTAACACCTCGGCCACCTTCTCCAGCCTTCTGCAACATGCTGCAACATGCTGCAACATGCTGCCTAATCATCTATGTAATAACAAAACGGTAGTAGCTGAGCTTGCAAAATAAGTGGTTTAATGTGAGAACCTATTATCGTGGCAAATATTAATATATTATGGTTTATAAGCAGTGCTAGCTACTTACATACCAGCTGTAGATCTGTTAAACCCATCATCAACTGATTTATAAAACATTAAATAACTCTATACTGATAGACTAGCATCATACTATTGATTAGTGATCAGGTTTGTTTGCACTAACCGGTGTAGCATTGGATGTCATTTCAGTAACATCGCCACCCTTGGACGTCCTTTTACGTTTTAATTTTTTGTTTGAACCTTTCCCATTTGCCGATTTTCCCTCGACTTTTTTCTTGGATGAATTGCCTGGACTTCCACCTTTCTTTCTTCCTTGCTTTGGTGTCACTGGCCCCTTTTCAACTTGGGATGCTGACTTCATTTTTGGTGGAACACCTGAAATGTAAAAGATAAATTTTACGTGTTTAACATAAAAAATACTATAATACTAACAGGTACTAAAATAAATACAAGAGCCGCAGAGCGTCTGGGCTCATCTGAGGTCCGTTGCTTCGGTTATAAACGTAACATTTTTTGGTTTTTGTTACTCTGATTTCCAACAGATGGCAGGCACTACCTACCTAGAAATTAAACAGGGACAGTCTACATTACCCCAGTCTTACATGAACTAAAGAATACAATGCTTTACCGTTGATTCGAACGTGAAATTAGGAGTTTTGAGACTCAAGGTAAATTCAGGGCTAAAGTCCGTTCAACAAGGTTTGTTTATCGTTTTCCTAACGGGATATAATATAATAACTGTGTAGTATGTAAAATTTCAAAGTATTTTTGCATGTGGAAACACAAATCAAGGTTCATACCCCACACGTGTAAGCGTTGTCATATTTCTTACCGGAAAAAATAGTATACTGTCGAATGATATCATAACAAATTCGCTAAAATCCACCGGTGCAGTGGCATTTGAGACAAAAATGCACGAAATATCCGTTTTTGCCCTGTTTTCATATCAATATATTATTATGAAGGGGAACGATTTCCATACTATTTTAACGTGTAAGGGTGAAATAACACTCATGCAGAGTGAATGTGTCAGTTTGGTTGGCTTTCCTGCAAAGAAAATGTGGTAAATCAATAAGTGAATATGCGGTAAAAACGAGAAAATCCCAGCACAGGGCGGTAGTTGCATTGTTAACACCGGCAGCGTTGAATGTGTTAATAGTGTTATTGGTAATACTTGAGTAGATTAGCATGTGAGCCCAGCACAACGCAGCGAGACAATCCGTACTCGTAACTGCTGTTGCACAAACTACGACGAAACAACTGAACATCTGCTTTATCATTACGTCAAAATATCTCAACTTCTTGGCCATTAAGACACTTGTATATATCTTTTAGAGACAGCATTGGNACACACACACACACACACACACACACACACACACACACACACACACACACACACACACACGCACGCACACACACGCACACACACACACACCCGCTCTCAGGGTCTCTGACCTTGCTTAGGACTACTAGATTTACATGCACTCTGCTCTCTCTCTCTCTAACGGAATTATTTCCCGCCATGCACATGTGCATTGCGTATAAACGCCGACGTGAGTGAGTGTATTTGTACACACACAGCACGCGCACACGCACACGCGCACATGCACGTACGCGCAGCTGGGGCTGTAGCCAGCAGCGCCGGTGCTGCCATCCAGGGGCGCTGACCCGCACCAGCCACATGCCATGTCTGTTGTTCCACAATGAAAGGGTGATGGAGGGGGTAGTGCAGCAGCATGTGATGAGTGCGTACATGGGTGGGGGCTATATTTAAAGTCGGCTGTAATGCTGTTGTAGATATGCATATAGCCGTGGGCGTTGCGGGGCACGCTCACCGGATGGCAGCACCGCTCCCTGTCGTTAGCTGACCGATTCAAAACCAGCATCGGACGCCGGTAAACGAATAAATAAATGTACAAATAATGAAAGAAACAATAACAAATAGATAAATGTGTATGTGCGTGCTTGTACGTGTGTATGGATGGATATTATCCCCCTTGCACATAAACTTGGAACATAAACGAGGGAATTCCTCCTTCTTTCCCATCACGCTCTATTCTCTTCGCTTTCTTTCTTTCTTTCTCTCTCTCTCTCTCTCTTGCTTTCATCTTTCACTCCCTTGCTCACGCGCGCGCACGCGGTCACACACACACGCGCGCACACACACACGCACATGCACACGCACGCACGCACACACACATACACGCACGTACGCACGCACACACACACACACACACACACACACACACACACACACACACACACACACACACACACACACACACACACAC